TCTGTGTCCCATGTTACTGGAAATAATCTAACAGGAAAGCAGGATTTCTTTAATATTCGATCCTTCGGGAGTACTGAGAGACCCCACATCTTCTCAGTGTTGAGAGAATCAGCAAGAAGCTTGGCGATAGAGCCAAATCCAAGTCCAATTTGCAAGGCCACAATTTGAGTGGTGGTCTGCTCCCTCCTAGTGTCTCTGCCAGGATTTCCAACGGTGGACCTCTCAGATGCAATCATATGATCATCTGCCAGGAACAGACCCAGAACGCCCGCAGACCTCCCGTTTTATGCTCTGTCAAGTGCCTGCTTGTCTACACCTCTCCTCCTTAGATATCCAACATTGTTTTAAGATAAAATCTGCTGATATCCAGCCACACCCTTTCACCCACTTTTAACTAAGGCAAAGCGATTTCATTTCATGCCTTCATTTTATGCAAATCATTTTAGCACGATCCCCTTTAAACCAGTTATAACGGATGCAGGCTCAATGTCAAATTCATACAGTATCTCAAATCACACCCTGATAGGTCAGACGCTTAGTGAGGTAAAGAGGGGCCTATGAATCAGAAAGTTGAGCTACAAACTAAGTAAATTAACATCCTGCAGCAAGTTGTAACAAGCAATAAAGTTTAAATTCATTGACTGCAGTTGAGCAATTCATTCATTGTCTTTTGCTTTGCGTTCGTGTTTATTCATGTTTATTGTGACAGCCCTCTTAAGTGAACATGCTCTCATTTTAAACGTCTCTGATATCTACACACAAAATTCAGACATGGAATAGAGAATTTCAGTAGTCGGACTGGTTTTTGTGAACATATTGATCAAATTTGTATTTTTATCTTTACTTAAGAGTAGAAATATCTGTGGCGATCAGCAATACTAGGACACCACAGCAGATGATCCTATCTCCATTGCTGTTTACCGCGTACGCCTCAGATTTCCGGTACAAGAGCAGAATGCGCCACTTGCAGAAGTCTTAATCACACTCGAGTGGTTGGGTGTGTTAAGGTACAGGGAGCTGGCGAAGAACTTTGTGAAGTGGTCCGTGAGAACTCACCTCCTTTTAAATTCCAGCAAGACAAAAGAGAGAGTGCTTGACTTCTGGTGAATACAACCTGCAACTTGACCCATCAACATCATGAATGAGGTGGTGGAAACAGTGGACAGCTGCAGGTACCTGGGTGTCGACCTGAATGACAGACTGGACTGAAAGACCAACAGTGATGAGAGAAGAGCACAATCACTCTACTTTCTAAGGAAGCTCAGGTGCTTAAATATGTGCAGTCACCACCATCCTCCATCAGTCTGTGGTAGTGACTGAATCTATTCTGCTGAAGGGGCAGCATACAGTGGTGTGAAAAGGTGTTTGCCCGCTTTGTGATTTTCCAGTTTTTTGTGTTTGTCACACTTAAAATGTAATTTACGTTGCAAATATTATTTATTAATGCAATTTCCACCGGTGTC